GAAAAACAAAGCTTAAATGTTGACGGCCAAAAGAAAATGAAATCAAAAAAAAAAAAAAAAAAAAAAAAGGGTTCTTAAATGTGGAGGAGTAATGGAATGTTAAACATGGGAAAAGAAAGGGTAATAAATTGGGGGGAATAAGCTTTTGAGCGAAGACTTTACAGTTTTTTGTTAACGACGTTAACGCTTCATCATTTCACGTTAAATGCTCCCTCCCGTTACATTGATGAGCTGTATCCATATTGCTGAGATGTTGCTTTGTTATTGGTTCGGGATACCACTGACGTGGTATCCCGGTGATATTCTAGACTTTCTCATTTGATAGGGGCAAAGGCTTGGGAGTTGGGACTGTTAATTGTTACAAACCAAATTACAAACTCCTACCCCAGAATTATTTTTCCAAGATTCACAATATAATAAAGTCTTAGAATTTTATATAACAAAATAATTATAATTGCCTTTTTTACCTCACAGAACATATGAATTTGTATGTATAGATTAATTTAATGTAACATGTGAATGTTAGTATTTATTTAGTATAAAATCACATCTAAATATTGTGAGACTTCACTGTAATATAATTTTTTGATTATTTAACTATTTTTTTAAAATTAAATATAATTCTTACTAGTGTTGCTTGCCTCAACATGCAGGGGGGTTTGCCCTAAATTTATACGAAGAATTTTATCCATTAATCATACCTTTTGCCCTAAATTTATAGAAAAAATTTTGTCCATTACATGAAGCAGAGTCATTACACTCCATGATCCCCTCTTCTCACATTTTGTCATTGCAAACACTATATTTCTTATTTACTTGATCAATATTGAGCCACACACTTTTTTAAATTTTAAATAAGAGATTTAAATTTAACTTTCAAATTGAAATTAAGGTTAGGATAAATTTTGGTTTAAGAGAAAATTCCATCTTGTCATTCACCAACTCTACATATCAACTCCAAAAAAGTAAATTACTCAATAGTGAATGTGTTGAAAGTTGAAACGGATTAATAGATAAATAAAAAGATAAAGAAAAGTGGAAACATGAATTGAACTTCATGCATCTAGATACGATAAATCGTAAGAGCTATTTTGTATTGATTATAATTATAGTCTACAATCATATATTTTTTCTTTAGTTAACTCTTACAATGAATTCACCAGACGAGGTAATCTTAAATTTGTCGGACAAGTCTTTAAAGGAGTACATCAGACGAGATGCTCATGAAGGAAATTTACTGGATGAGGTGATCCTAAGTTTGCCAACGAGTCATTAAGTACCCTCAATCTTGTAGGAGTCCTTAAATAAAACTTTAGAAAAATAGTGCAACAAAAATAAAATACTTCTAAAATATAAATGAGTTCTTGTAAAAATAACCTACTTGCCTGTCATTTCAAGATTATAAATAAAGAAAGATAAATGATGGAAAACCACCTTAGCAGAAAGTATTTTAAAGAAAGATATAAAATGCTTAAAGTTGTGAAATAACATAAGTTAAGTCCATTTTCATTAATTTATAGATTTTATATATAAAAGCAATTTACACAAAATAGATGTGAGAAATTCTTTTCAAAATCTTTCCAAAATAATAAAGTAGAATTATCATTTTAATAATACATCAATTTGCCTTCATATCAAAAGTAGTGAGGTCCAAATTTCTACGTATGACGACCGTATGTGACCTATATCAAAAGCTCTCAAGTTAGGTGACTACTCCAATCTATTGATATGAAATGTAAGGAAAATATCATGATCTAAAAGCCCAATAAGTACTAAATTAAAACTATAAACTTAGGTCCTAGGATCCTCAAACCTACACACATAAAGGACATAATAGATAATTAAACCAAATCACATAATATTATAAAATTTATTGTTTAAATAATAACTTAATTTGTCATAGAATAATTCAAAAAGAATCAAATATGTCAAAGAAAAACCAATGACAACTAATTCAAATTCATATACTAAAACTATATTCTCACAAATGGCATGTTACAAGCAAAATGCATATAACAAAAATACACAATGCGATAAAGTCCACTAATTTATGCTAGCAACACTTGTACCGGAACTAGTTACAGCACTCACCCTACTACGTAGAGGTCCACTAATTGCTTCGAAGGGTCTATTAACCCTTAGCTTTAAGTTTAGGTCCACTTACTCCATAGTCACAAACACATACACATGTCAAATATATTTAAAACACATCCAAAATAATAGGAATGTAATTTCATTTAATAATTCACTTAAATAGTTGCATTTTAAAGCAATCCACTTTAGATATCCCATACCTAGCTATGGATTTCACTTGTAAGAGTTGAAATTGATTTCTTTTTCAAACATTTGTAATTAATGCATGATCATATAAATAAGAAACACTAGTTCCCATCCAAAGTCAAACAACACTTCAAAATTTCAAGTAAATATATGGAATTATTTTATCATATTAAGTCCTAAGAAAATCATCACACAAAGTAGGCACATGGAATATACAATAACAATATATATTATGGATAATAGATCTTCATGCTAAAACCAAGTATAAAATTAAAATACATTTCTAAATTATATCCCTAGACCCATGCATACACTCAAAATCCAAATATTTCTAAACAAAATTCTAATACTTAAAAAGTTTCTTAAACAAAGGATTTAAGATAAGATTTCACTAACTTAAACTATTTCTTAGTGTATTATAGCAAATCTGTAATCTACCCAAAACTCTAACCCAAATCCATAACTAAAACTCATGGTTATCCATGAAAATCAAAGTACCAAATTGGAGAAAACAACAAAAATTGAAGGGAAATCAAGAGAAAGCAAGTTGCAATAGCAAATAGCAACTTCTTTCTCTTTCACCCATATCGCTTGGACAAATGTAGAGGAATGGATTTTTTTTCTAACTCTTCTAGAGGAAGGCTAACAGGTCTTGTAAGGCTTTCAAAGTCCAAATATGGATTTGCTTGGTAAATATTGTGCCACATGGCACAAAACAATGACATATTAAAGTTAGACATCCCTCAACCTCTACTAAATTCCACTTACAACCTCGAAACTCTAAACCTAATCAATTTAACCTCTAAAACTTTAAAATAAAAGGCTCTAATTTATACTTTATTAACTAAAGTATATAGGCTGTTATAGTTAGCAAGTGGGGAGTTTTGCAACCAACATCTTCTCAATGATGGTCTTGGTGCCTGCTGAAGTCTAATCTAGTTCAGGAAGGTGATTAGCTGTTCCCCTTACTAATATGAACCTCATTGGTAGGGAAGAAGCTATGGTCCCCTTTCGTGATGAATGCACTTCCCTTATTATTTTTGTTTCCCTCTTTAGGCTGTGTTTCCCTTTATTTTTTTTGGCAAGGCAAACAATGGGGAATTCAATATTTTTCTCCTCACAAGTAGTAGACTGGGCAGTGACATTACCAATTTTGATATTTGTGTTGAATCCAAATGAGTTATGCATTTTTTGTTTGGTCATAGTTTAAACTATGAAGCATTGCGATTAGTTCATTTAATATTAATATTGTCAGATTTGTTGTTTTGGGTAAATTTTATGGATGTTTGTTAAGAATTTTCTAGCAACCAAACGTGAAATTCTAGTAATATTGGCTTTATTTTGTTGTTGTATCGATTTTAAGTTATATTATGTTAATTTTGAATGTAATTTCTATAATTTAATTGTATATATAAATGAATTTTTTGGTAAAAATATATATAAATTAATAATTTAATAATTATTTTTGTATATTAATATTTTGCTTCGTCGACTCAATATTTAGTAAGATTCATTTCACTATATTGCTATAATTGTATGATTAAATATTTAGTTTTTGTTAAATAAAAATTGGATAATTATTTATAAAAAATTTTGTTGATGAATGAAATTAAAATATTTATATATTAGCTTAGTAAATGAACTATAAAATATATGATAGATATTATAATTATTCTAAAACTAATCATATTGTTATTTTTGTATCACTAATTTAATAAGATTATGGATCATTGTAGTTGGATGTATGGATGTCGAACTCTTGGAGAAGAAATATATGAGGTGTTTTATGAAGTTGAATATTTCTTTCAATTTGCATTAGTAGGCTTGGTCTTGGACCAAATGATTAAGTTAGATGTCCTTGTAGTAAATGCTTTAATTTATCTTTGATGACTCAAGGAATGGTATGGGATCATCTTACTGTGAATGGTTTTATAAATACTTATTTTGTTTGATAGGCACATAATGAGACATTTGTGAATTCAGTAAATCCAGGGTTTGTTGCTAATCTGGGTGAATTATTGCACAACTAAGATGCATACTATGATAAAAAGAACAACTTCCATGATATGGTGTATGATGATGCTTTTTTTTTTTTTTTTTTTTTTTTTTTCTAAAGGATGATGATTATCAAGAAATGGAAGCTAATTTCCCCAATCAACATTTGGAAGAGAAATCGAGCAATTAAGTAAAGGCATCTGCATTTACAATACCACTTGGTAATTTAATATAAATGAGATAGTGCTTAGTTGGCTTTCCTATATGTTGCACACTAAGACTGAATAATATAACTGAGGGTGGTTTTAATGCCATCATTGAAGCACATAGGAGGCTGGTAAGTGCTAAAGATCAGGAAACAGTTCTTGCAAACTTTTATGAAGTAAAAAATTACGGAAAGGCTTTGGTTGGGTTCTTAAAATTAATACTTGTGTTTTCAATTACTTTTTATATTATAGGGAGCATACAAAAGCATCGACTACATGATCCATTTATGGACAAGGTATCAATAGAGAAATTCGAGGACATAAAAAAAGACATTTTAAGGAATTCTCTTTGGTATTTGCCCAT